ATATATATATTTTAATCTTAGAAGACAAAGTTATAGTGAATTAAAAAAAATAGTTCATTAAAATTAGTTTAATTAGTATAAATGCAATATTTTCAATGTTAAATTGCTTGTTTTGATTGTTCTTTGGAAAAAATTTTTTTAACTAGTTGATAGTGATGTCAGACATGCCCCGCACTTACGCATGCGCGTTGTTTATAGCTTAGTGCGCAGTGCTGTAGTCATTAGGTTAGGTTAAGGTACCATTACATGCAAGCGTCGGGCATCAAACATTTGCGCAGAAACTTATTGTGCACGATTCTGAATTTCCTGATTCCAGCTTCTTGGTGCAAAAGATGATAAGTAAGAGAAGTTATATTCTAATGTATATTACCTTTATAGACTACTTCTACACATAATACTAAAAATTTATATTTATTTGAATTACTTATTATGAAAAATAAAATTCTATTATTGGCAGTGTACATCAGTCTTCAATGTAACCTCATTTAACTAAGTATTAATTTCAATCAAAAATCTTTTGTATATTTTATCAGATACTTAATTCTGTTTTATGTATTTGTTGTGTACTAGAATTATTTTGTAACATATATTTTGTAGGCATCAAATGTGATATTTACTTGTGGAATCTGTTTGTCGTATGTGGAAGAAAAAACTATTACGTATCATAAATGTGTTCAAGAATGGCACAGTGTAACAATAGGTACAAATACTAAAAAATTTTATCCTACTAATCGTACGATCTAATTTTTATTTTTATTAAACTATAGGATTAAACTACTTAATAATAAAACTCTCTATTAAGATATTTAAAAAATTATAAAATTATAACAAACATTTTTTTATAATAGTGAAAATGGAGAATATTTAGCAAGAATGACCTGGGAGAGTAAAGAACAAGTATTGTTATTAAAAAAATATGTCAAATAATGCTCAACAAATACAAATAAATAATAAAGATTTAGCTCAGTCAAATTCATCCAAAATTGAATGTTTCACTGCGAAAAATATTTCACAAGATTCAACAATTATACGTGATAAATTGGATAATACTATATTAGAAGAAATGTTAATTGAAGAAGTTAGAAGAAGACCCTCCCCCCCCCCATATACGATTATATGTTGCCTTTGTCTGCCCATGGAAGAAATAAAATTGCAGACTTATGGAAGAAAATTTCTGAAGCTCTTAATGGTAATTATTTTACATAAGATCGAGTCATAAAATATAATATATTAAATATTTGAAAAGTAAGCTTTAATAATGTTTTAGATCTTATGAGAAGATCTGAAGATGCAAAAAAAACACTGGAAAACACTTAAAGATACATTTAGTAAAGTAGTGGCCGAAGACAAGAAGCCCAGTAGATCAAGTAGAGTTTTAAAAAAGCCTTAGAAACATTTAGAACTAATGTTTTCTTTCTTACGATCGGTATCTATACACAAAAGATATACATAAATTATATACAAATAACTAATTACGAACATGTTTTTTAATGGTTCCATTTCTAATGTTACAATAAACGAGTCTGATCTTTCTGAAGATAACAAACGATCAAAGAATTTAAAAATAATGAAATAATTAATATTGTTACATGAAACTTATATCTATTATTTGATTATTTAATTAATTTCTTTTAAATTGTATTGTATTGAGCATCATATTTTTATTATTTATTGATAATGTTTACATATAATGTATTACATGAACTTCCGCTCTCTAATCTAAATCTAACTAATTACTAACTAATTACTAAACAGTTACTGAGCATTCTCTGATACATTTCTTTCTCTTCTCTTTCTCTGTACCTCATTCATCCATGCATATCCTGTCCCGTCATCATTCAAAACTTCTTCCACTCTCCCTTTCATTCTTTCCATACCCTCACACTCTTTCATTATATGTTCCAGACTCTCATTTCCCTTCCTACATATTCTACATATGAAATGCGCTTCCCCCATCCAATATCTATTACACCCTTCCTCATTTCCGCATCTCCACCTAGCTATCAATTTCACTTTCTTTCCCTCATTCTTTTTAGCATTCTTTATATACCTTGGTATCCCTTCCACCCTTATTCTTTCATACCTTTTACATGATTTCGACTTTTCTATCCGTATCCCTCTTTCCTGACTATCTACTTCTCTATCTTTTCCCATCATCCATTCCCACTTTCTCTCTCCTAACTCCTCCAGTGCTTCCTCACTTACCCCGCATCTCCACATATATTTTTGTCTCTCTACGCTTTCTTTAGTCCATTCACTCTCCTCATTCTCTCGTTCTTTTCTTTCTCTCCAGCATTCTCTGCCTACCTCACTCATTACTCCCTCCCCTAGTTTCTCTTCAAACTTTCCTGCTCTTATACTTGCCTCTATTCTCATCTTCCCTCTTTTTAGCTCCTCCCTGCATATATACCCTGGAGTCCACCTGTCTAGCCCCAGAACCCATCTAATATACCTTTCCTGTAATCCCTCAATTTCTTCCCATTCCCTATATCCCCATATCTCCACTCCGTACATTACCACACTCTTCACTAGGCTGTCAAACAGCTTCATTCTCCATTTTATATCCCCACTAAATCTTCTCTCTCCCAGACTCCATACCCACCCCATGACCATCTTTGCTTTCCTAACTCTGTCTCTAACCTGCTTTTCTTCTCCATTATTCCTACTCATAATATACCCTAGGTATTTTATTTCTTTCACCTCCTCTATTCTTTCTTCTCCCCACCACCAGAATCTTTCTTTCTCCCTTCCTCCTCCTTTCTTAAATCCTATTATCTTCGATTTTCCTATATTCAGTTCTAATTGTTTCCCTTTTAGGTACTTTCTTAACGCTCTGACCAAATTTCTCATATCCGCTTCTTCTTCCGCTACTAATGCTACATCATCCGCATACTCTAAGCACCAAATCCTATCCCTCCCTATCTTCACCCCTTTCGTGTATTTTCTCATTTCATCTTCTAAATCTGCTATGTATACATTGAATAAAGTTGGGCTAAGTGGGCATCCCTGCCTTACCCCTTTTCCTACCCAGAATATTTCACTCTCATAATTCCCCACTCTTATCTTACAATTAGTTTCCTCGTAAATCTGTTTAACCCTCCCTATCAAATCCTCCCTTATCCCTCTTTTCTGCATCATTGACCACAGTATCTCCCTATTCACGTTGTCAAACGCCGCCTTCAGATCTACGAAAAATACCCACAGTCTTCTACCTTTTTCTTTTATTCTCTGTCCTATTATGTGCTTCATTATCTTAATATTTTCTACCGTCCCCCTCCCTCTCCTAAACCCCGCCTGCGTCCTACTCCACCCGTTTCTCTCATCCAGATCCTTCACTATTTTCTTATTCAATATGTTGGCATAGACTTTGTACCCTGTGCTAGTTAGCATCACCCCTCTATAATTCCCTACTATATCCTTGTTCCCTTTCTTCCATATCGGTACAATCACTCCCGTTCTCCATGTCTTTGGGAAGCCTTTTCCTTTCCAAACCCCATTAATAATCTCTGCCAACTTACATCTTATCTTCTGCCCTCCTAGTAACCATGCCTCATTTTTGATTCCATCTATCCCCGCCGCCTTCCTCTTCTTTAACCTCTTTATCTCTCTCTCTATATCGCCCTCTTCTAATCCTTCTTCATTCCCCCATGTCTCTTTATTTTCCTTAACACTATCTATATCCCCTATTCTCTCCTCCCTCCCCCCTAGTACTTCCCTAAAGTGCTTTACCCACTCTTCTATACTAATTTTTTCACTTACTCCTTCTCTCTTACTTCTATACTTATTTATATATTTCCATGCCTGACATTCTGTATTTATCTTCTCCAATTCTTTTTCCTCTCTCTCTTTTAATCCCAACTTTTTCCTGTTACATAGATCTCTATATTCCTTTCTTTTTCTATAAAATTCTCTTCTCTTTCTTTCTATCTCTTCCCCTTTCGCTTTCCTAAAATTCTTTTTCGCTTTTTGTGCTACCCGTTTACTCTCTCTGCACTCTCTGTCCCACCACGGTTTCCACCCTACATTCTTGCCCTTTTTCATTACTTTATATTGTGTCGCTTTTCTCACTACCTCTTCCAATTCCTCCCACCCCTCCTCTACCCCTTTACTATTCCATTCTACCCTCTCCACTCTTTTCCTATATTCGTTTTCCCCCTCTTCTGACCAGTCCTGATATTTTATTTCCACCTCTTCTACCTTTGTTCCCCCCTCTGTCTCTCTTTCTTTCCCTATTCTCACCATTACCGGTTGATGATCTGATTCTATTCTTATACCTACTTCAAATCTGTCCACTTTCTCCCACGCTGCCCAATTCACTACCCCCAAGTCTATCACTGAATTTGCCACTCTTTGACCCTTCCCTTCGAATGTCCACTCTCCTTCTTCATCTCCTTCCTTATTTCCGTTCAATATTATCCACCCTCTATCCTCTATCAATTCTAGAAGCTGCTTACCTTCCTTGTTCACTACCTTATCCTTAGACTTTCTTTCCTCCTCCATCCCTACCTCACTTACTCTACCCCCACCCCCCCTCTCTCCTATTCTAGCATTGAAATCTCCCCCTATGAGTAGATTTTCCTCCTCCTCCCCTTTCACTCCTTCATCCAGGTCTAATAATACCTGGCCCCCGTTTACTCTATTATATACCGTCACAATTCTCCAAATCTCATTCCCATGTACTACTTCCCTTTCTTGGATTCCTTCCTTCTCTATTCTATCTGTAGCCCTTTCTTTGACTTCTACCTTTACTCCCGTTATAATCCCCCCCATCGCTCTACCTTTTCTACTTTCTCTCCTGGCTGCTTGGTGTTTCCACCTCCAGCCCCCAGGCAGTCTATTACTAAATTTCTTCCATCTTTTCTCTTCTAACCACGTTTCTGTCAAATTTACAATATCAAATTCCTGTATAAATTCCCAAAAATCCTCGTCTTTATTCTCTATTCCTGCTACATTCCAAAATATAACTTTCATACCCCCCTTATTTCCTTTACTATTGCAATTAATATTCTTATTTTTTTTTCCTTTATTATCCTTTAATTCTACGTCATCCCTCTGTTTTTTCCCCTTATCTACCATACTTCCATCTCCATTGTCCGAGATCTCCCCGTCTTTCTTATCTATACCTCTCCTCCTTTCCCTTTTACCCTCCCTCTTTCCTATTCTTCCCCTCTTTCTGCCTTCTTTCCCATCTCTTTCCCTCTCCCTCTCATCCAAACGACATTCATTCACATTTATTTTCACGCCTTCACTCTCTTCCTCTCCATTTATTCTTCCCCTCTTCCCTGCACTCTCATCCCTTCCTTTCATACTCTCCCACACTTCTCTACGCTCATTCCCCCTTTTTCTTTCACTCTTACTGCTATCGCTCTTATCTATTACTCTATCTCTACATATCTCTTCTTTCTTCTCTGCCTTACTATCCTCTACAGTCTCTTTCTCCAGCCGTCGATCTCCCGCTCGTTCTCCATCTTCACCTTCATTTTTCTCTTCAGCTTGTTCTCCGTTTATTCTACCCTCGCCGCTCTTGCAAAATCCCTTTCGGTTTCCATTCTGTCCCTCTCATAGTTCCATACATACTTTATTTCTCCTATATATGCTTTTGCGTATCCGACTTTTACGATCCTTCCTTTTTTCTTCTCTTGATATGCCCATTCTCTTACCCTTTTCTGTATCTCCCTCTCTTTTCTTGTCATATCTTCATCCACATATATTTTCTTCCCTCTTAACTTATACTTATTTTTCATAATCTTCATCTTTTCTTCAAAGTTTTCTAATTCCACTAAAATAATTTTCTCTTCTTTTCCAATAACCTTTACCTCTTTCACTCTTATTTTTTCTCCACATATTCCATTACATAGATCTTCTACTACCTGCCTCGCTGTTCCTTCCTCAACTTGCTCTCCTTTTATCACAATATTCTTCTTCCTTTCTCTTCTTTCTCTTTCCTCTTCTCTCTTTTTTAGCTCCGTCACCTCTCTTCGTAATTCCACATTTTCTTTTTTCAGTTCTTCTATCACTTTCGCATTTTCTTCTCTCATTTTTACCAGCTCTTTCTTCAGCTCCGTCATTACCTTCTTTTCTAAGTCTCTATTACTATCCTCTATTTTCTTAATAATTTCCTTCTTAGACCTTTCTTGATTCTCCCCCATGTTTTCCAGAATTTTTTCAATCTTTTCCATTTGCGCCTTTTCTGTATCTATTATTATTTCAGCCTTCTTCCTCCGTTTCCCCTCCTTCTCTTCACTCTCACTATCGGTGTCTTGCTGCTCTCTTCCCCCCTTCCACAGCCACGATGAAATACTCGATATACTCTCTCTACTGTTACTTCTCTCCCTTCCCAGCTTTTCCGCGTTGGATGGTCTCCCTCTCTTCCCCGCTCTCGTTTCTTCTACTTGTCCCCGCTTGCTACTCGATGCAACCGCCTCTGAGCCGGTGTCTTCCTTCTCTATCTCTAACCTCTCTCTCATATCCCCTTCTGGCAACACCTGTCCCCGTCCACTTGTCGAAGCTTGGCTATCACCACACGTGGCGACCGTTCTCAATTTCAGGTTATGTTAATTCTATCACTTTACCTGAAGAAATCTCCCGGGCACTCTCGATTTTCCCGTTGAAAGATACCGGAACTTGTGGCACTTTTTAACTTGCCTAGATCCTGAAACAGATTAACGCCCGCGGGCACGAAAATGCAGAATACAATCCAAATTATTTGGCAGTAACGGTTTAGCGAACCTTTCAGCTACTCACCGGAAACGGAAGTCCAGCATCATATTTATAATTTATATGAAAATATTCAAAAGAAATATTTAAATCTGTTTTAGATCAGTCATCTAAATATGAGACTAAAGACAATAATGATTTTAATGCAACAATGCTTCGTATAGCTGATGCACTTTGTAAACTTAGTCTAGAAAAGCAAGATAAACTTTTAATAAAATTTCTACAAGATATTACGAAAGAAGGACGAAACAAATACAAATAAAGACTAAATCTTAAGTTTCTTTTAAGTCATTTTTATTGATAATTTTTAATGTAAACAGTAAAGTACTCAACAGAATATAATTATTATTCCAAAGTTAATTTTTTAAGATTTAACTAATCATTTTCTCCTTTATTAAAATATATAGATATATATTCGCAGCATTTTTCTTGAATATTAGTTATACGTAGATAATAGAATTAGTATTGCATTACTCGTCTTAGAAGGTGGCTAGCTAAAATACAAAGTACCAAATGAAAAGTACAAATACCAAATATACATTTATGTTAACTTATTAAAGATTTGGAAAATGATTTTTTAAATCTCTAAAATAATGTATGTATAATTTCTATACTTATTATATATATACATACATATATACATATATATATATCCACATACACATATATGTATAAAAACTTTAAAATATAAAATGCAAATATAATAGAGATTTAAAAAAATGTTTTCCAAATCTTTTTAGCTTTTAAGGTACACTTTATTTTTTTTCGAATAATTAGAAATAATGTTACTATCTTTGACAAAAATAAAATTCTTTTATTGAAAATCAAATTTTGATGTTAACTTATGATTTAGAAAATGTCATATCAAATATATAAATTTCTTATTATTTCTAAATGTTACTTACCTTTTATCTCGATATAAAATATGCCTGATTCAAAAATTTATTTATTTATAAA